GATATATCCATTGGGATATTCCCTGAAATAATGGAGATATTATAATTTTTTTTCTTTTATAAAACTCACAAGGATAAGAACTACAAATATTTCATATTTTAATTTAATTTCAATCATTTTTTATTTAATTTCAAAAAAGTTGAAAATAGCCATATTATAGAGTTTATTTTTTTTAGAAAAAAAAAACAGAATTATAATATCTCCATTATTTCAAGAGATAATATATCAATAGGTAAATCCTTACGAGACACCCTCAAGCCATGTATATATTTATTGGAAATGAAGTGAAAATAAATAATATGTAATTGCAAAATAAATGTTCACATAAAKTTTTTAGTTTTGCTGAAACATTATTAGGTGCAAAATTAAGACAACTCTTATTTTGAGCAGTATTTAAAATATATATATATATATATTTTTTTCAAATTCGCTAATGGATAACGCTGAATAAACAATATGTTACAAGTATCAGACAGGCAGACAGTTATGCATTAAAATTATGTATATCTATTAAAAATGACTAATTCTCCTAATGCACTATGTATAGTAAATATTCATTACACCGATGTGCATGGTACTATTGCGAAGCCACGTTCAAAACGCTGGCCAGTATTCGTAGTTACAAGTTAATTTGTTTTAGCCATAAGCATAACCGTACATAATAATAATATGAAAATCAATAAAATATTGTTTATTGTATTTGGAAAATATCCAGATAAGTATATCCCACTAAATTTTGAATTGTTATTAATAATGTTTTCATCTTAACAACTACGCACATAATCAAATTATGTATATATTTTTATCTAAAAAGTAACAATATCTTAAAAAATAAAACAAAAGTAACAAAATACATTTTTAAAATGCTACTTTTAATCTTCGTATTGRCTAAAGTGATTACAACCTATCAATGTTTAAGGCCAAGCTAAAATGCACTTTAAAAGCTGTATTTGCTCTTTTTTTTTTAAAAAACATGCTTTTTAACTGTTGTAAAATATAGCTTGTGGTTATAACAAAGCAATATTTTGTTCTCCTGTTTATGGTCAGATATCCATTATTTGTGTTGGCTCTGAYGAGATTCATCATAAATACCGCGGTACAGCCATAATAATACTTGGAAATATAATAATAACAGTTTGACCATTGCCCATACTCGGGCAATGCCACCTACAAGATAACGCGCACGTTGGGCTATCTCGTGTTCTAGTCACATACGCTAACTGACTATTATTACGTATCAAAAAACAGTATTCATGACCAGTTTGTTAGACTATAATAACCTGCAGGTGGTTTGCGATCCTCCGTAGAGATAGAGACGTCAAACTGGTAACTTAACGCTTACGACTATAGACTTGGCGACATTTTCAACCTTATATATACTGATGAATTGGTATAAATTATGAACATTTCACTAGGTAAATAAAATTAATACAAGTTAATCATTCAAAAATTCATAGTTAATGTATCACTTTATAAGTATAGTAATTCTGTGTATAAACACTAAAACAATAKAATATTAAATTTAAAAAAACCTATGGAAAATGACAACATTACATTAGATACACGATTAATAACAAAACTAAAAACTTGTTGATTTAAGTTTCACCAAGGCCCATCCTACCRTTATAATTAACCTTAATGTTATTTATTTCAATATTTCATGATTCATGAATGATTATTTAATAATTGTTATTATTGTAATTTTTTCGTGCCGATAAATATATTTCCGAAAATAATAATACATTTATATAGGTAAACTAAATTATAATTAAATAATGAAATAAATTATTATTATCATCATTGGTATATAATATATTTTAGGTATATAAAATAATTTTTTCTGGATGATTGATTGATTGATTATCATTCATCATCRCTTAGCCGAAACCGTCAAAGCTATGAGTATGAAATTTGGCCAGTAATGTCTTTTTAAAATTTAGAGACCCACTAAAAAAGAATTGTTAAGAGATCTTCAACCAAATATTTTKAAATTCACGTTTGAAATTGAACTTTTTTTGTTTAAAATGGTTGGAATTAGTTGAAGATTATAATAGTAATAATATAAATAAATATTTTTTTATTTTAATACATAAACGGTTGCTATTGCTTGCTAGGGCAGATTAGGTACAAGCATGCATCAGATTGTTGCGTTTAAGTTGACTCGAAATAACTGCATCTTAAAATCAAATGTATGTTTGTAGATTATATTTACTCAAAAAATACTGTATTGATTTTGACGAAAATCCAAGAGAGTTTTTAGAAATAAAAGTAAGTAAACAAGTAGTTTAAACCTGTTAAAAAAATACACCAAGTGCTAAATCTAATATATCATATAATGACTTTCTTTTTGTCCAGTTATAGATAGGATTATTTCGAAAAGCTAGGTACGCCGTGTCCGTGAATTGTGGTAGACTAAAACTGATATACATCTGTACAGGAATAGCCGCAAAACAAAAAATGTTCAAGGGTGAAACCGGGTTATTCAGCTAATATTTTATAAAATACAAAATAAACAATGATATAAAGCAGGTAATCAGAAAACAACAGTTAATGGTTAACGACAAACACTTTTTAAGGGGCTTAAAATAGGCAATCATTTTTCATTAGATAATATATTATTATACAAGCTATAACATAATATACTATATTAACCAAGCAATAATGCTATAATATAAAATAACAGCTAGAAAGTCTTAATACTGTTATATCAAAATATGAATTGATAAACAAAATAAAATTTAAAAAAATAATTTTTCAAAGAATTTGGTTAGTTAAAACATACAAATTAGTAATTATACTAACAATATGAGATAAAAAAAAGGAGAATTCGCTTTGCTATATCAGCGTAGTTATAATGCATTTTTTTTGAGGAGGAGGGTATGCACTTTCAGTAAAA